ACTTCACTCCAGAGAGACCCAGTCACCATGGCAACCACTGCCGGCTTTGGTTCATTTCCTCAGAAACCCCAACTGGCAGAGATGGTTGAATCAGGGAACTTTCGCAAGAAAATTCTGGGAGCTTTTGATTCTTGGGGCTAAAACCTTGGAGGAAGCTCCAAATTTAAATCACCAGAAAGAAACTGATCCCCAGCTTAAAGGATAAGCCAAGAAGGGCCTAGAATCAGCAGTCTGCTGCCCTGCTGGCTGCTGGATGGGTGTCACAGGGTTTGTGAGACCCTGCTGTCAGAGGCATGATCACACTTTGTTTCTTTGCTCTGAATATACATCGAGGCGGGGACCCTTCAACAAGAAAATGGGGATCTAACATAGCTTCTGCCTTCCCTGAAATTTCAGAGCTGATGCACTGAGTGATGTGGACGGAGAGCGACAATTCAGGCCTGTTTAGCAAACAATGGTGCTGTCTTTTTTTTTTTGAGCCGGACTCTGCTCCATTACAAGAAAGGAAGGAATACAACACAGACCCAGCCCTAGTGGGAGATGCTAGCCCAAAAGACTTTCGAATTAGGCCTTGTATCACAAAGCTCAAACAAACATTAGAAAACCAGCAAGTGGACTGCACGGATTAGGAGAACCCTGTCCAATAGGGAACCAATAAGCCTCTAGAGCACCTCCAAGCAGCCCGAGATTTTCATCCTGTTATAAATCATTCCACAGAGAGGCCATAAATTCTCCTAGGTGGCACTCATCCTTTATGCATGTGAGTGTTTGAAAATGTTCATCCCCTCACCAGCCTCTTCTTGCTTGTGCAGCAGCTGAGAAAGAACTCTCTTGGCCAAAACCGAGGATAATAATTTGGGATTGCTCAACAACCAATGAATGAAATGTGGTGAGTGGGTGTATTGGTTAGTTTTAAGCCAACTTGACACAAGGTAGACTCATTTGGAAGAGGGACTCTCGACTGAGAAAATGCCTCTGTAAGACTGACTTATAAGCAAATCTGTTGGGCATTTTCTTGACGTGGGAGGGCCCAGTCTACTGTGGGTGGTACCAAGCCTAGGCAGGTGGTCCTGAGTTGTATAAGAAAGCAGGCTGAGTAAGCCCTGAGGAGCAAGCTAGTGTTCCTCCACGACCTCTGTATCATCTCCTGCCTTGAGTTCCTAACCTGACTTCCCTTAGTGATAAATTGCTACCTGGAAGGGTAAGAAATAAACCCTTTCCTCCCCAAGTTACTTTTGGTCATGGTGTTTATCACAGCAATAGAAACCCTAACTAAGACCCATATAAGAGCAGTTGGCAACCCATGTAAGGAAAATGGGCAACCCATGTAAGGAAAATGGGCAACCCATATAAGGAAAATGAGCAACCCATATAAGGAAAATGAGCAACCCATATAAGGAAAATGGGCAACCCATGTAAGGAAAATGGGTAACCCATGTGAGGAAAATGGGCAACCTATGTAAGGATGAAGAGCAGAAAAGAGACAAAACAGTGGTCTATTCTGCCATAGAGTCTTAGGAAAGAAATAGTTGGTAAAGCTTCATAAAAGACAAAATGAAAGTAACGTACTCGAATTTTATTTCTACTTAGTATTTTAAATTATATTCTCCTCTTGGGAAAATTAAGGGTAACAAATATTTTTATTCCAAGAGAAACATTTCTTCACAGCAGTTAGAAGACTGCCCTAAGCATTCAAGTTCCAATCTTTCACTGTGCATGATGGGTGTGAATGAGGGTGACAAAGACTGGCCGTCTGTGACGTTGCATCCACACAGGGGGGACTCCAGTGACAAAGAAACCCGTTTGTTAGCACCAGGCTCTAAAAACAAAGCACTGGAAACAGTATTAAATGTGAACAGAACTATTGAGAGAGGAAAAGACACAGCCAGGAAGCTAATTCCTTTATCTCTCCAGGCCTCGGCCCTGCTTTCCAGATGAACTCTGCCTGGTTGCATTTCTGGGTGTTTTTATTAAGACTGTGTGAGATACAGCTTTATTCTTCCTTTACCCCTGAAGGCAGCCAGCAGTCAGCGACTCACTCCTCAGATCCCTTAAGCTTACATGACTTAATTTCTTTTTTCCCATTAAATTAGAATTTGCAAAAAAAAAAAAATTGTATTATTAGTTTCCTCAAAGGGTTTTGGAGAGATAAAGAAAGCCATCAAATCTTAAGAGTGTCACAAACCTCGGGGACACACATGGCACTCAAATACTAGAGATGATGTCTAATGATATCATTTTTTAAAACGTCTTTCATTATTTTGTCATGTCCTGAAATCTCATAAAAGCATAACAGAAACGGGCTTGGGAATTTAACTGAAGTGAATGTGTAAAAGGGGAGGGAAAAGGATGGTGGTTTCCTCCATTTTCAGTACTGTTCATTTCAGATTCCAGGAGAAGGAAAATATTGGTCAGGAAGCACAGCTAAATGAGTCTATATAATAGGTGCTAAGGCAGGATGCTTAAAATCAGCATGGCTTAATAATTCAGAAGTAGAATCCGCATGGGGCTGGAGAGATGGCTCAGAGGCTGGGACGGCTTGCTGCTCTTTCAGAGGACCGAAGTGCAGTTCCCAGCTCACAGTACCTGTAATTCTAGCTCTGAGAGGATCTGTTGCCCTCTTTTGGCCTTTGAGGGTGCTTACATGCACATGTTCATACACATAAATAAAAAAAATCTAAAAGCAAACAAGCAAAGAAAAAAAAACAGTAATCAAAATCCTCAAATTTCCCAACGGTGGACTTTCTATACTATCCTAAATACATGTTCTGAACCATCCCTGAACTTCAGATCATTGACACCACTAAAAGCATCTGAAGGGTTGTAATTGTCTGACCTACTGCCTTTAATGAACTAGGGTGTGTATCTCTGGAGAAAGGGAAGGGCACCAAGAGCCCTCCGATGACAGGAAATGCAGCGATTAGGGAGGTGACCTGTCCTAAGATGCAAATTGGAAATGACAGCTCTGTTCAGGTTTGGTTCAACCCAAAGAAAAATGCTGCTTCATCGACTGACACCAGAACATTCACCTGCACCTCCAGAATGATTTTCTCTTCCTTCACTCAGCCTCGGAGATAATACTAATGATTACCAGAGACGGTAGTGAAAGCCAAGCTTAATCACCATAATTGACAATTAAGCTGGGTAACAACACAGAGACAGGTGATTCACACAAGGCTAATGAAAATGGGCTATTAAAATCCACACACGTTTGGCAGCAATTATGAGCTCCTGGAGCCATTTGCTTTGAAATGTGCACATTTCACAGGCGGCTGCCTGCCAACAAGGCGACTCTGAGCAGGACCAGGAAAGAAAGAGGAACAGAGCGAGTGGCTGGAAATTCCAGAAAGCACCATTGCTTCTTGGCGGCCTGCGGGATCCTTTGCTCCAGCCCTCATCTTTTAGAGCCAAAGAAAGATGCAAAGTTCACAACTCCAGAGAATAGCACCCACTTCCTACAGAAGCACCAGGGGACCTGGCGAGGGCGCGAGTGTTGGGACTAGCAAATTCGGGGGTCGTAAGGCAGAGGGGGAGCCTGTGGGTGGTCCGGGCTGGACCAGATGAAAGGAGGATGTATTTCCTGAAAAAAAAATTTTTTTTTAAGGTGCTTAAAAAGCACTGAAAGGACTTTTAAATATATTCATTGATTCTTCTTTTATGTGCATGAGTGTTTTGCCTGCGTGTATGCAAGGGCACTCTGTGCATGCAGTGCCTGTGGGGACCACAAGGCTATGGGTCCCCTCGAACTGAAGTTACAGATAGTTGTGAGCGGCCATGGAGGTGCTGGGACCTGAACCCGGGTCCTCTGAAAGAGCCGTCTCTCTCTAGTTCCTCCACTCCTTATTTTTAAAGCAGGGTCTCACTGTGGAGACTTGGCTCACCTAGAACTCACTATATGTAGACCAGGTTGGCCTGGAACCCACAGAAATCTTCCTGCCTCTGCATGCCAAGTGCTGGGATTAAAGGTTTGTGCCACCACGCCCAACCCTAAAAGGACTTTTTCTTTACATTTTCCTGACATGTGAAATGGAAGTGATAACACTCCCTGCTTCCCTAGAATGCAGAAGAGTAATGAGGTTGGATCTTTAAAATGCACGTGGATCCAGAGAGCAAGGCCCCTTTTCTCCAGCTCCCTCACTTCCTGGGTCCCCACAATTACTCCCTGATAGTCAGTCGGCCACCATTTTGAAAGGCTCTATCTTTTAATATACTATGTACAGTGATGTTAGTATGGAAGGTAATTAGTCTTTTTTTTTTTTTTAAAAAAAAAAAAGCAATTTTATTCATTTATTTTTCCTCCCTCCCTCCCTCCCTCCCTTCCTCTCTTCCTTCTTTCTTTCTAATGACAGGCAATCAAATAACCAAGACCAATGGCAACTTGTCTCCATGGAATGTGTAGACATTTGTGACCCAGGAGTGGTGATGCCTGCCTGTCACCTCGGCACTCAGGGGGGAGACGCAGGAGGATCAGGACTGAAAGTCTAGCCCCTACTACAGTTTGAGGGTATCTTGGACTACAGGAGATTCTGGGGGAGGGGGTGGAGTGTTCAAATACAGCAGCTAAATGTCCCCTTCTGTCCACTGTGACAGCCTCTCCTTAGATGATTTTCAATAAAAGTAATTATCAGTGCCATTAAATCAATATCTGTTGCTTTTTAACTGTTTCACTTGCCTTTAAAGGGTCTCGTTTCCTTTTATTGCATTTTTGAGTTTATATTATTCCATATTTTCTTCTCTGCAGCACATCAATCATACTTATCTTTTTCTGTTGTGTTAGTGGTTGCCTTAGAGTTTGGACTGTAATTTTGCAGTTAATGTGTCTGCCTCTTTGCATGTGGAACAAGTCTCCTATCACGGACTCTCCTCAGTTCTTTACTCCCATCTCTAATGGTTCTGCTGTCTTTCATTTCTCTTGTCCATGACATACACTCACCTAATGGATTGTCACTGCCATTAAACAATTAACTTGACTGTCAACTCATATTAAGACAAACAAGACATTTGATCATATCTTTGTTTATTCCTTCAATACCTTATTATACCCAAATTTCTGGTCTAATCATCCTCCTGTTCCAATGAGAACTTCTTTAATACGGTGGCAGGATGGGTCTGCTGCTGCTGGATTCTCTCCATTTTGTTTAAAAGTGATGAGTGGCTCTCCTGTAGAACAGGAATTCCTACAAGGTTCCAGATAATTCTTGGCCATTTTAGAGAGGAGTGTCAGATGGGACAGCCTGTCTCACCTTGGGCAAACGACGTCAGGCAGGAGAGGCTGCAGGGGGGGAAATATGGGCTGTCTGCTGGAACCATTTCTACATTCCTGAGACCCTCACCCCACTCCCCCAAAAGGGTCACAGCCATCTTTTTTCTCTACCAGATTCTTCAGCTTCCCAAGGGAGAGAGTTCGGCAATAAACACATTGCCCCCTGTGGGAAGGTCGGGCTCCAGTCTCTCTGCCTCCGTCCCTGTAAGCTGCCTCAGAACCCCAACAAGAGACAGAGTATTCAGAAGGATAATTTCAGTGGATACAGAATTCTAAGCTGGCAGATTTGCCCCCTGCAGGGGTTTAACTGCTTACCCACCCTCTTCTTGCTTTCAGCTCCCCGTTGAGAACTCATCTACGATCCCGTTCCTTAGTTCTTTATAGACTGGCTATGTTCTCTTCTTCCCTTTCATTTCAGGTTTCCTCTGTGTTTGTGTCTCTGAAGTTTGACTATCATGTAGCTAGGGCTTTGCTGTTGTTTGGTTGGTGGTCTTGTTTTTTGTTTTGTTTTTAAGAGATTTTCTATTCATTTTACATACCAACCACAGATTCCCCTGTCCTCCCTCCCCCTGCCCCCAGCCTTCCTCCACAACCCACCCCTCATCCTCACCTCCTCCAAGGCAAGTTCTCCCATGGGGAGTCGGCAGAGTCTGGTACATTCAGTTGAGGCAGGTCCAAGCCCCTCCTCCCTGCACCAAGGCTGTGCAGAGTAGTCTCTCCAAAAAGCCGGCTCATGCACTAGGGACAGGTCCCGGTCCCACTGCCTGGGAGCCCCCTAAACAGTTCAAGCCAAACAACTGTCTCACCTATCCAGAGGGCCTAGTCCAGTACCATGGGGGTCCTCAGCCATTGGTTCACAGTTCATGCATTTCCACTAGTTTGGCTAGTTGTCTCTGTACTTTTTCCAGTCATGGTCTCAATATCCCTTGCTCACAGAATCCTTCTCTCTCTCTCTCATTGATTTTCAAGGGGCTGGAATGAACCCAGGGCCTTGAGCATGATAGTCAAGTGCTCTCCAGTCCTCTGTCTCTGAATTTCCTGCTCTGGAAGATTAGTGCCAATTCTGGAAAATTCCTGGCCATTTTTTTTTCTGCATATACCTCCATGTGGCATCCAAATTGTGTATACTATTCCTTTTGAAATTGTATCGTCGTTTTTTGTTTGTTTGTTTGTTTTTTTTAAGATGACTTAGTAATGTAAGTGAGGGAACAGTGAAACCACTGAACTGGACCACTCCATGGGTAGGAAGAAAGGTTTGTTGGGCATCGAACTGCCAAGACAATCTCTCAGGGGACTGAGAGAAGGGCAAAATGGTAGAGAAGCAAGCTGATTTTTATGTGACAGTCCAGCGTCAGGGGAGGGTCTTTGAAACAGTCCAGCCTGTTTAGATTGACCGTAAGTCTCTGATAAAGTAGTTTCTCTGGAGGGCAGAACTTTGCTATGGAGAACACACCCCTAGGAGATCATTTCAAAAAGAGTTAGCCCCCTAACGCCCACCACCACCCCACCACCCTACCCTAAACACAAGGTGACTTCTAGAAACCGGTCCATTTTCATTGAGAGAACGTGGTTGGCTTCTTCGAGGTCAAATCATGTGAGAGCAGGAAGCTCTTCTAAGATTACATCCCCAGGAGTTTTAGCTCCTGAGCTAGCCTTTCATCAGCCTCTGGTTGGTCAGTTATGAGTGTGTGTCCTTACCAGTCATTGGCTTTGGCGGTTTCAGTCCTTTTTAGATGAAGGTTCTGTGTAATTGCCTATCTAGTTTTTCAGTGGTGATGCATTGTCCTGCTAATCTTGGTTTTCCGATGAATCAATGAAAAGTTGGTGATTTTCAGTTTATTTGGCTTTTCCCCCTATTGTGGGGGATGGGAATGATAACATACAGCCACAAAGCCACACCTGGCAAATGCTTCTGCAACACGGATGGCCATTCCTTACGTCTTCCTCAATCCCTTAGAAGCTCCACAACCCGAGGGTAATTACTAAAAACCTCTTAGCCTTGCCTGTTACTTCAAAGAGATATCAGAGTCTACGATGAGGTGCTTCCTACCCTGTGGACCACATTGATGTGCCAGAGGAAGAGGAGTTCCTTCTAAGGTGACTCCCTCTTGTATGTTCCAGACCCCCAAACTTCCCACCTCTTTCAGTAGTTCTTCCCTATACATAACCACCCCCATCCCCCACCCCCGTCCTGGTGTGTGTGTGTGCTTTCTCCTTTGGCTCCTTCACTCACTGTAATTGTAATTGCATAGACTTCGCATTGCATTGACAAATAACCTTAGAAAAGCACTTTAAGAGTGAGAAGTTGGTAGTTGGTTCTGGCTTAGGGTTCAGAGCTTTTAGCCCACCACGATGGAGAGGGCATGATGGGAACACATTAGCTCAGTTCAGGATGGCCAGGTCACAGAGAAAGAAGATGCCTGCACCAGTGACTTCTTCCTCTTGCATTACATCTAAGCCTCTAGCGTATTCAATGGACACCTAGATTCAGTGTGTATCTTCTGATATGGGGCCTTGGTTGTAAAACAAGATTCCTTTGAGATTACAGATGTGCTTACTCAGCCTTATTAGTCGGTTCAGAAGGGATGTCTGTAGAGACAGGGCAAACAATTTCAGGAAGGAGAGTCTGCAAGAAACACATGTAACAGACCCTATAGCTGCAACAGCTTCATTCCAAGCCCCTCACCCTGCCCCTACAAAGGGTCGCAGTCAGCTTTTCCCTGGGCAGACCCTTCAGTTTCCCATGGAAGAAAGGCTGCCCTTGGCTGTGTGTGCTAATAGACACAATCCCGTTTGTTGAAAATCAGACTCTGGTATCTTTATGCCTTATGTCTCTTTTATGCCGTCTTAGAAATCTAACATCCTTTCTCTTGAGTCTGAGATACCAGCACAAACACACTGAGGTGTGCTCTGTTAATCTCCATGTACTTCTCCAGCCATTGAAGTTGACAATGTAGATTAACCATCCCAAGTCCAGCAAGTCCACACCCTGTAAACTTGACATCCAAACACATCTCCCATCTTCTTAAGCCAGAACATACCACCAGTAATGCCCTAAAAGCCCATATCCATCCCATAATGCAAAGCATGTACTCCAAGAATACCCATGATATTAACAGTTAAATATTGTTTAAAAGTCCCAAGTTCAAAGTTTTCTCTGAGACTCAAGGCACACTCTTTAGAAATACGCTCCTATAAAGTCCAAACAAGTTGCATATTTCTAAAGTACATGGCAGAGTAATTCTCATCCCAAGGGGGGCAAAATTTTAGTATAGAAGGAAAGATGGGAAAGCAAGACTGATATCCACTAGGACAAATATTAAACCTTGTCATTCCATGTCCAGTATCCACATGGCATGATGTGAGCTTCCAAGGGCTTGAACAACGCCATCCCTAGGGCACTGTGCAGTACGGCCCACATAAATTCTCTCTACACTCTGCCTTTGCCTTTGCTTGAAGAGTGTCATGTGTCTGGCATCTCCAACATCTGTCTCATCTCTTCCACTTCACTCTTACAGCTTGCTGTGTTGACCTCTTTGGACCTGCCTGCCGGAATCTTGTTCTGACTTTACACTGTCTGGGCGTCTCGGACTTTCTCTGAAATCTGAGTGGCAGTTTCTATGACCTCATAACTCATGCAAGCCTGGGAAACTAGTATCATGTGGACAATGCCAGGGTCTCCTGCCAGCTGCAGCAACTGAGCCTTTGTACCCTCTCCTGTTTCCATCAGAGTTCCTCGCCTATTAATCATAGTTATTCAGAAATCTGTATCATACTGGAGTCTAATGATAATAAATGCTTAGTCCCTTCTGACTGTTTAAAGTGTATTTTGTACTATGGTTTGGGGGTGCCTTGTGGCTCTTGTGGCTGTAATCTGATGTTTATTACACTGCAGCCCTGTTGATGTGGCGTTAAACTCTGAGGAAGAAGCATTTAAAATCCTGTGATCGAATCTCACTCTTTCATCTCTAGATGTGATCTCCGAAAGTACTTTTAGCTTCCTCTGAGGTGGGACAGGAAAGAAAAGGAGACAGAAGCAGGGTGAGAGTCCTGATGTCTGGGTGGAATGATGTTGTGTTTGAGTCTTCCCATGGAGAACAGGTCTTAATAACGGAAAATGTCTAGGGCTTATTCCAAAATGGTTTTCCTTCCTCTTGTCAGAGCTACAACGAGGAAATATTTTCTTGGCTTTTCATAATAAAGACAATACAGTTTCTAGAGGGAAAATTTGTGAAAATGTGGGCCCTAAGACTATGGCCTCAGTAGTTTCTTGCTCACTTTAGAGCACACCCTGCCTCCAGCAGTTCATCGGAATTGGTATTTTAAAAAAAACTAATTTATTTATTTACATGTATGGATGTTTTGCCTGCATGCATATGTGTACCGCATGTGTGCAGTGGCTATGGAGGCCAGAAGAGGGCATTGGATCCTCTGGAACTGGAGTTACAGACAGTGGTGAGCTGCCATATGGGTGCTGGGAACTGAACCTGGGTCCTCTGGAAGAGCAGCTGGTGCTCTTAATCACTGAGCCATCTCTCCAGCCCCCAGAATTTGTAGTTTAAAGTGTCTACCAATTTATAGCTGGAAGCTTCTGCTGCAGTGGGTAGATCTTGCCTGCTGTTTTCTGGTTTTGCTTCCTTTCCAGACTTCTCTGTGGAATACTACCTGGCAACCTCAGTTTTATGATGGGTTAAAAAAAAAAAAAAAAAGGCCACACAGTCTATTTTCAAGATTGTTTTTTTTGTTTTATGTTCTTTTAAGGACAAGTACAATGATTTCTGAGCTCTGTACCTAGCAGAGATAAATCTGCACGTCTAGTAGTTCATTTCAATCAATTTAAATTTAAATATAAAAACTTTATTATTATGATACTTGAATGAGCTACTGGAAAATCTTATGTGTGTTTAGAACAATCTGAATATAGAAAACTATGTTTTTCAATTACAAATTTTATTTAATCCATATATAAATTATACATTTCCAATAAAAATTTACCATTCAAATTGAGATAATTAAAATATAAAAGACATATTCCAAGTGTTAGAATGTAAAAAGAAGCCGGGCGGTGGTGGCGCACGCCTTTAATCCCAGCACTTGGGAGGCAGAGACAGGCAGATCTCTGTGAGTTCGAGGCCAGCCTGGTCTCCAAAGCGAGTTCCAGGAAAGGCGCAAAGCTACACAGAGAAACCCTGTCTCGAAAATCCAAAAAAAAAAAAGAATGTAAAAAGAAGTTAATGATATCTCATTAAAATTTTTGTGATTTTATATTGCAATAATGTAAAAAATATATTGGGTAAAATAAAAACATTAAAATTGCCAGGCAGCAGTGGCGCACGCCTTTAATCCCAGCACTTGGGAGGCAGAGCCAGGCGGATCTATGTGAGTTTGAGGCCAGCCTGGTCTACTGAGTGAGATCCAGGACAGGTACCAAAACTACACAGAAAAACCCTGTCTCAAAACCACAATAACAACAACAAAAACCAACCAAACAAAAACATTAAAATTATGTTTTTGGGGCTGGAAAGATGGATCAGTAATTAAGAGCATCTGCTGCTCTTGCACAGGACCAGAGTTCAATTCCTAGAACCCACATGGCAGCTCACAACTACCTGTTAGTCCTGCTCCAGGGAATCTGATGTCTTCTTATGGCCTCTGTGGATACTGAATACATCTGGTACCTAGACCCACACATAGACACTTAAGATTTAAAAATTATCATGGCCCTACTGCAGTCGGAGTTTGTATTGATGTCTCATGGCTCTTGTTGCCATCAAAGACTGTGGTGTCTGGGCCACCGGGGTCTGGGCCACCACCTGGGGCCATGTTGGAGTCTGTGGACCATGTTGCTGCTGGGCCCATCTGGATCTAAGAGGCCTACACCTCACCCCCCTGGATGAGGACATCCAGGTTCAAGCTGCTGCTGCTGGCCATGTCTCGGTGCGTGGTCCTGCTGCAGCTGGGGTCTGTGTTGATGTCCATTGCCCGTGTTTCCACAGGGGCCGTGGGAACCACATGTTGAATTATGTGTTGAAGTACAAGGGCCATGCTGAGCTGTGGTGGTGGTATTCTAATTGTACTGAAATGTGATTTTGATTGTATGTTAATAAATAAAGTTACCTGGGGGTCAGAGCTATTAGAGCCATAGACAGAGTGTGGCGGTGGTGGCACACACCTGTAATCCCATAGATCTCTGTGTGTTCAGGGATACAGCCAGCATTGGAGACATATGCCTTTAAGACCTGGGGGGCTGTACATAGACAGTGACGAGGCAGTCACGTGTTTGGGTTCACAACCAATGAGAAGGCAGAACAAAATACTACAAAAAGACGGACAGACAGGATATAGCTCTCTTTAGGGAAGCTGGGACACCGCAGGAGGAAGGGTGAGATTTTAGCTCTGAGCTCTGAGCTCTCAGCTTTCTCTTTTACATTGGTTCTGTGTGCCTACTACCTAGGCACACATTCAGGACTTGGAGTTGGCACACCCCAACACCTATCCATGACCTGCTGGAGTGTGTGAAGGGACTGATCTATAGCTACAGAATCTCCGTGGACACCAGCAGGATATTGGAAAGGAATGTCGTCAAGGGGTCCAGTATTGACCATGTACTAGAAGCTAGAGGCCTTGAACCTGACCAACAACTCATTCTACAATGAACATTTGCAAGTAAAGCTGTGTGGACAAAAGGGTGTGCTGTGTGATACATCGCAGCTCCCTGTGCCACTAAGATGAATGAAGAGGAGATGGAGAGTCGGAGAGATGGAGGAACGGAGGGGATTTTTTTGTTCGCTTGCTTGCTTTTGTATTTTTTGTTTTTGTTGGTTTTTTTAAATTAATATTCTTATTTGTACTTTTAATTTTTATTTGTTTTTATTAGTTCTTTTAAAGTTTTCCTTTGGGGGGTGCTACAGGGGTGAAGGGCAGATACAGAGGGACTGGGAGATGAGTGGGACTTGAGGTTCATGATGTGAAATTCCCACAAAAATCAATAAAGGGTTATGTTAAAATTTAAAAATTATGTTTCATGTACTTTAGGTTATATTTTTAAAATATAGCTATTAGCAATTTTCAAATTACATACACCCACATATGTCATTTGCCAATATCACTATAGTTTAAAATAAACATCTTGGCTTATTGTGGTATACTTTTAAGATATGTTATAACATTTTACATATGAATTTGGGGATTTGTTTTGTGTGTTTGATTGTTTTGCTTGGTTGATTCATTTTTGTTTTTGTTTTGTTTAGACATAGTCTTATTGTGTAGCTCTGGCTGGCTTAGAACTCTGGATATAGATCAGGCTGGCCTTGAACTCAGAGATCCATCTGCCTCTGCCTTCTGAGTGCTGAGATTAAAGGTGTGCACTACTATTCCTGGTCTTCATATATGCTTTGAAACCTTACAGTATTTGTTCCAAATCTATCTCTTGTCCTTTATGCTATGAATGCCTTGCATTTTATTTCAATATTCTAAACAACACACTAAGTTATTGCTTGGATACTTATAAGCACTTGTCCGCTAAAGACCCCACAATTAGGAGGCACTTTTTAATTAACCCACATGTATTCCATTTCCAGCATTTTATTTCTTTGTGTAAGTACAGTGACATCATTCTGCTTTTACTTGGAACTTTTCATCATGCCATTTTGCATCTGTTTAATTATCTCAGCTTTTGTTTATCTGAAAATATGTTCTAATGTAGCTCTCATTTTTAAAGGATAATTTCACCAGATGAAAATTCTAGGTAGACAGGGCATTCCCTTTCCCCTCCCCCACTTGAAAGTTGCTGTGCCGGCTTTGAACTGACATACCTGCTGAGAGTCTTTGGAAATTCTAATCTTGGCTTTGTCCTGCATGTGTATAAAATATTTTTCTAATTTTCCTTTTCAGGTTGATGATGTCTCTAGTTTTTCAATAACTTAATTGTGATATGTGCTGATATAACGGGTCTTTCTTTGGACTGCCAGCACCTGAATAATGACACAGAGACTTTTTATTAATTATGAAAGCTTAGCCTTAGCTTAGGCTTGTTCCCAGCTAATTTTTAAAACTTAAATTAGCTCATTTATATTCATCTACATTCTGCCACATGGCTTGTTACCTCTCCTCAATACCATACATCTGACTCCCTTCAATGCTGGTGAATCTTCTGCCTCAGACTCTTTCCCAGAGTTCCCATCTCTTCCCAGAAGTTCCACCTATCCTCTCCTGCCTAGCTATTGGCCATTTAGTTCTTTATTAAACCAATAAGAAGGTGCCTTAGGCAGGTGTGGTAAAACAGAGAGACACATCTTCACACAGTGTACAAGAAGATTATCCCAACATATTGAAGTGGTTTGTGTGTATGTGTGTGTGTGTTGTTTGAAGTTCACTGAGATTCCTTTTGTTTTTAGTTTTTGAGACAATATCTCACTATGTAGCCCAGGCTAGCTTGTAACTTTCAATCCTCCTGTCTCAGCCTCCTAAGTTCTGGGACTTCATAGCTGAGGCACCATGTATGGCATTTCTGTTTTTTGCTGTTTTGTCTGTTTTGTGGGGCTGGGATCTAACACAGGGTCATATACATTCTGGGCAAGTACTCTCCCACTGAGCTACATCTCTAGTCCCTGAGAGTTTTCATTCTGGGTTACAGCTTTCACAAACATCAGACAATGTTGAACCATTCTTTCCTCAAACATCCTTCTGTCCTGATCACTCACAGCTCTTTCTGATGATGATATGCTATGCTGCATCAACATTCCCAGAGCCATTGAGATTTTCACTCCCCTCTTGCACCTTGGATAAATCCTGCTGTGGTGCCTTTCTATATAACATTTTCTCGTGTAGTCTCTGACCCTCTATTAATCATAGGATAGGAAAATGTTCGTTTCTGGCATATTGCTTATCATTTCTAGGATCTTTTGGGGGCTTGTTTTTATGTTTCTGCAGGGTAAATCTTTACCCCAAGGCTGTACTGACCCCACTTCTAAGACTTAGCCTTTCTGGGGTCACTAATGGATGCTCTGGGTCTCCCAAAATGGCTTACCCATCTTCCCACCCTCAATTATTTAAGAGATAATGGTACCTAGTTAACACAGTACAGATGCAGCTACAGGCAAATGGTATGTTTTGTCTCATGTCTAGTGAAGGAATCAGCTGTGTGTTCATGTGTGAAAGCCTGTATTTTACATTCCTATGATACATTCTTAGATTGAGACCATGTGATAGGAGGGCATTTGTGCATTGTGCTTTAAAAAAAAAAAAAAAAAAAAAAAAGGTTCATTTCCTCCTGGCTGTGTATGCCTGAATGTAAGCATGCACATCATGTGCCTGCGATGCTCCAAAGAAGACAGTAAGAGGCATCACATCCCTTAGAACTGAATTTACAGACCCCATGTAGGGGCTGGGGCCCTGTGCAGGCGCTGGGACCTTGTGTAGGTGCTGGGAACAGAGGGCCCTGTGAAAGAGTGCCATGCTCTCTTAGCGGCTGAGCCACCTCTCTAGCCCTTATGTATTGTGCTTTCTCTACTATTGATTGTCAAATGCTTCTCAAAAGGGTTTGCAATGCATCAGATTTCCATCAAAAATGTAGGAAAGCAGCTGTCCTCTTGTCTACAGTAGACACTGGCACTCTGAGTTTTGGCAGCACAAGTGAGAATTACATATTGTCACTATAATTTGTTTCCTTGACGACGAGTAGAGCAGCTCTGTTTACTAGAACTTTGGGCTTATTTCCCCCCCCCCTTAAAATACTGTCTCAGCAAGTGTTCCATGGCTGTGAAGAGACACCATGACCACAGCAACTCTTATAAAGGAAAACATTCAATTGGGGCTGGCTTACATTAGAGGCTTAGTCCATTATTTTATCATGGCAGGAAGCATGTCAGCATGCAGGCAGACATGGTGCTGTAGAGGTGGCTGAGAGTTCTAACAACCCGATCGGCAGGCAGCAGGAAGAGACTGAGACACCGGGTCTGGCTTGAGCATCTGAGACCTCAAAACCCACCCCACACTGACACACTTCCTCCAACAAAGTCACAGCTACTCCAACAAGGCCATACCTCCTAATAGTGTCACACCCTATGTGCCTCTGGGGGCCAGTTTTATTCAAGCCACCAAAGATGTGTTCTTACGTGTTCCAGATTTCTACCCGTTTCTTTTTAAATCAGGATTTTAATCATTAACATCTTCACAAAAATCATCCATTTCCTTTTTTTTTTTTTGCCATAAACTTGATACAATGACATTGCTGTGAGGTAGCCACCAGAGAAGACTACTTGGACAATAGTTCAAGCCAATAGAAAGTCTTTTTCTATCCAGCCAGTGAGTACACTGGGTGTTCAGGACCTCAGTGAGGTCCTAAGCCTTTCTCAGGGTGAACTTTTAAGCACAAAAACATATCCCGCTTAACTGTTCTTTCAGTTAGAAAGAACAGTTATCCAGAAGCAGAACTACAGAAGCCGAAAAGCAAGGCTGGTACATTAGGGACTTCCCCAGAACTGTGGACTTCGATGGACCAGGACTTCCCCAGAACTGTGGACTTCGATGGACTAGGTCTTTGTTCTAGTTTGGTAGCTGCTGCTGCCTCTGTGCTGGGTTTCAAGGCCTGAATGGTACTTCCATCCTGGTGTTGGCTGTGCCGAGTTCTGGAGGCCTGTACCATTCCCCACTGGTCCTGTGGGGAATGAGTCAAATTGTGGACTCATGGGGGGAGGGGGTATGTCATCTCCTTAGCATCAGTAGCTTCATGGAATTTATTTGCTGAATAAGTAGGCAGCTGAGCAAGCCAGTTTCTATAGTGACAGCTAGAAGTAAAAGAATTAATGAATGGCCCAGCATGACTGTAAGTATAGTGGTTAATTAGGGGGACCAGGAGAACAAAAACTGGTGTCAGTTGTTAGAGGTTTAACATCTCCCTTTTCTTTCCTGAAGGTTACTTTTGATCATGGCTAAACTTCCTCTAATGACCCCTGACTGACCAGAATAGAGCCAACAAGTCAGTGTCATTCAGAGACCTCCTTGTCTCCTAAAGAGGAGGTCCAGTCCTTTTTGATCCTGAAGAATAACTGTTGTAGAATATTATTTCAAGATGTGTTACTTTTGTTTATACTCTGGATCGTTTGTTTAATGATGCAAAGATGTGTTTGATTAAATATAATTCACCTGCGGTCAGGAGGCTGAGTCAGCAGCTAGCTGACAGGAAGTGGTGGGGAGGAGCCAGGGGGAGAAAGGGTTTATGAGGAGAGGCCAGGAGAAACAGGAGGGCATTTTGGAAAACTCCAGTAAGGAGAGGCGGTGAGCTAATTGCTACTACTCAGCCTCTGAAGAGCAGAATTCCACCTTAACCTTTGAATGTTGAGTTCTTTAGAAGGAGAGAGTTTTAGTTAAGCTCCCTTCGTAGCTTTGTGAGAGTCGGAGCCTGGGGGAACAGATTTCCCTCCAGCTACATTCCTTGCGGCCTAACAGTTGCTGGTAGCGGATGAGTTGCAGTTGCTGATTCGGACAGCTGTGGCTTAAAAGGCAGAAACAATTTTTAAAAGGACAACAAATAACGTTGGCTAAGGAATCTAACAGGGCTTCCACACAGGAAGCAGAAGTTTCTAGATGACCCAGGTCTATGTCTACTTGAGCACTGAGTTTCTAAAGGTTTGCCCCCAGCCCAACTAGGGCTGAAATTCCAACTGTCATGGCACCTGCAACGCCTGCCCCCACCAACAAGGGAATGAGCATGGGGACAGCTTGCTGCACGTGAGGAAGCTCAGAATCTAGACGTCGGTGGGCCATGCCCTCTGTTTTCATTGTTGATGAACACCTGCGGTATAACATACGTGAGGACATAAAGGAGTGGGTTCTTCTCCCGTGTAAACAATTTAGAAGCTGTAAAAGGGAAGCCAGTCTAGGAGCCAGCTGCTTATAAAGACTTTCGATCGGCTTAAACCTGTGTCTGAGTGCTCTTCTCCGGTGGGTACCTCACAACAACGTAATTCTGACTCCTCTCTGAGTCTGTCTGTGTCTGCTTCCTTATGCCCTCTCCCTTCTTTCTCAAGAAACCTTTCTTTTATTTATCTTTTCTCCCTTTTATCCTATTTCATATATCAGCTTTGCCTGAGTCCATTCCTTCTTTTTGTTTAATGTTCACTTTAACTTAAGGTGAAATACTAAATTATTTTGCTTTTAATTTTTAAGTGATAAAGGTATATAATGTTAAGTTCTATTTGGAATACTCATTGTGCTCTGTATTACAGATTTTTCTGGAATCTGAGTTTCAGATTTGATATAGGTGTGTGTGTGTGTGTGTGTGTGTGTTTATTCAAGGATTATCATAAATGTATTTCTTACTATAGTTGACCATATGTGTTTGTGGGTTCAAAAGCCACATACTCAACCAACCTCAGACTAGAAGTATTCTTGGTAAAAGCTGTCTGCTATGATCAGTTAGAGACTGTTTCTGATGCTATTGCCTGAGCAACACAGGGTAGCAGCTACTTACATAGCATTGGTATTATACAAAGCTTTATATGAAATTTAAATATGTAAGAAGATGTATGGCTTATATTCAGCTATGATGCCATCTCATATAAGGGACTTGACCATATGTGGATTTTGGTATCCCTGGGGATTCTGGGACTGTCCTAAGATACTAAGGAGTGCCTGGGGGGGGGGCGGGTGTTTGTTTGTTTGTTTTGTTTTAAGATTTATTCTTACATTAATTTACACGTATGTGTGTGGGTCTGAGTGTATGCTGCATGTGTTCAGGTGCCCACAGAGGCCAGAAGGGAGTGTCAGATCTGGAACTGGAGTTACAGGTGGGTGTAAACCACTCGGTGTGGGTGTTGGGAACTGGTCTCTAGTCCCCAGGAAGAGCAGCAAGTGCTCTTAGAACCACTGAGACATCTCTGGGGCCCAGAAGAGCTGTCTGTTCTTAATTTATCGTTCATGTTTTTTTATTTCTAGTTCCTGAGGAGTGTAGTCAGAGAAGATGGAGTATTTCTCCATATCTCTTTTTGAAACAAGGGAGCCCAGGATGGTTCTAAGTGACTTATAGCTGAGGTTAGCTGAGAACTTCTGATCCTTTGGTTTCTACCCCTCAAGGGTTGGGATTGCACATGTCCCATCATACCCAGCTTTTCATTCCTTCTCCACCTCCTCTTTTCCCCTCCCTTTCCTTCTCTTCCTATTCTTTTCTTATTTTAAGTTTATGGTTTAAGTTTATCCAGAGTCGATTACATAATAGAAATCTGCATCACACAGTATATTCCATAGTCTCTTTTGAAGCACTGTAGTTTCTGGTAGTATCCATTAAATTAAATTTACTGATTACATCACTGAATTTCTCCAGATTCTTTTTGTCTAGCAGCTTCAGCTAACTCTGAAAGATCTCCTTTGTTGTTGGTCTCTGCAACTGTTTTTATCCCATTTCCCTGGATTTCTTCTTGCTGTGGGATGTCTTTCTGTACCCTGTGTATATATATGTGTGTGTGTGTTGCTCTGATTGGTTGATAAATAAAGCCATTTGGCCTATGGCGAGGCAGGTTATAGCTAGGCAAGAAATTGAGGATAGACAGGAAGAGAAAGGAGAAGCAGGAGAGACGTTAGCCTGCCGCCCAAGGAACAACATACCAGCAGACTGGTAAGCCACAGAACACGTGGCCAAATAAAAAAAAAAAAAGAAAAAAAAGAAATGGGCTAATTTAAGATATAAGAGTTAGCTAGCAGGAAGTTTGAGCCATAAGCCATGGCCATACAGTTTGTAAATAATATGAGCCTCTGTGTGTTCACTTGGGTCTGAGTGGCTGAGAGACCACGGTGAGAGAGATTTGTCTGGACTGGGTGGGACACAGGAAAACTTTGACTACATCTTCTGTTTCTTTTATCTTTACATACTTAACTACTGTTAATTTTGGTTCACACTAGTTTATTTTCTTTCTTTTTGCCATAAAGTATACGTTGTTCTCTTGTTTGGTGGCTTTAATTTCAGTGCTGTTACTCCTCGACAGTTGATCTGACACACCCTGGGAGTTCTATTTTCAGTTAGGACGCAAACTAGAGTTACTGTCAGGTGCCAGTTATAAGCGGGTACCCACACTTCTGTCTGACTTGTCTACAAATATGAGGGTTTCTAAATACCCACTTCAGGTTTGATAACTCAGGAGAATGACTCACAAAATTCACCAAAAGCAAAATTCAGCAAGTTGCCTCCATGGGTGATGGCACTTGGCACCGAGCCTGACAACCTGGGTTCCATCCCTGAGGTTTCCATGATGAAAAGAGATAATCAAGTCCTGAAAGTTATCTTCTGACCACCATCCACATACATACAAGCATACATATATATGTGTGTGTGTGTGTGTGTGTGTGTGTGTGTGTGTGTGTGTGTGTGTTGATGTAACCAACCGTCTTATTAAATAAGAAACACAGAAACAATGTAAAAGAGAAAGCCGAGAGGTCAGAG